ATGTAAATCGACAATATCAATATCATTGTAATAAAGCAGTGATTTTAAATAGTTTACCTTACAACTGCCTTTAACATAGATATAGTTATTTTGTACAATGTTTCTAATAAAACTAACTATACTTTCTTGAGGTAGACAGGTCTCATCTTCTTTTTCATCCCAGGATAGTCCGTGGACACGATTCGTGGTCTTCAAAAGATGGTTTCTAATTTCACCTGTGAACCAGTTATACGGACAAGGTGTTTTTACCATTCTATGAAATACTTCTCCACTGGACACGTTTATAATTGCGATTTCTCTAACGATATAATCGCTCTGTTTATACTGAAATCCTTGAACGTCGAGGATAAACATTTTTTAAATGTTCTACGAGCACTACTAATTTGCAACTGAATCTTCCTCACACCTACGCAACATTATTTATATCTGTCCAACTATTGTGTTTGTTATCAAACCCCAACCACTTTACAAACACTTTATCGCGTTTCCTTTTGAGAATTTTTTCAACTAGATAAACGTCTGGAAACTTCACTTTTTGCAATTGTTCGTTGTAAAATCCACCGAGAATATTTTGATTATTTTCATCTTTTAATAAATACGTAGTGGGATTGGTTAGTTGAACTTTATCTACCGTAAAAATTTCCGTTGACCAATTTGGTTGGTATTTTTTATCGAAAACACCTCGCCTTCGATATTCGTACGCGATCGCCAATCTTAAATTTGGTATTAAGATTTGTCATTTTTATTCGATTAAACACCGTTTCCATTAGCTTTTTTTCGTGCTTTTTTATAACATCGGCCGGTTTCATTTTAATTACGCTGTGATGTGTATTATTGTAGTTTCTAACAATTTCCGATAATATGTCGATCCATTTATAGTTTCCTCGTAGACTAAACTCTTTCCACATTATATTTTTTATGGTACGGTTCACTCTTTCCACTATAGCGGCCTTTTTCTCGCTAAATACATTATAATGATTGATATGATATTTTTTCATTAAATTTTGAAAGTCTTTGTTAAAAAATTCAGCTCCAGCGTCAGTTTGTAAATTTTTTGGTTTTTTGGTGGACTTTAAATTTGTTTCCATAGCTCTCGTCACTTCCGCTCCCGACTTATTTTTTACAGGTAGCGCCCAAACAAATTTAGAAAAACAATTTATTACAATTAGTATGTATTTGTATCCACGATTCTGTTTTGCGTACGGAATCATTTCGATAAGGTCAGCTTGAAACAGATCATATAAAGATTTAATTATAGTTTTTCTACGTTTAAAGTTTATACGAGCAGGTTTATGAAGTTCCTCGACAACTTGTCGCTTGGCATCCGTAATAAATTTCGACTGCTTCATTCTATAATATCGGCTTCGCGCAATTCTTCAATTAGCGAATTTATCTCATTTAAGTGACCCGTATGACCTGCAGACTGTGACGATACGAGTAGACGCAATCGATCGACTAATTCATTTGGATCGTCCCAATAAATGTAATCTTTTTTATTGGGTGTCACTTCCATTGTTGTCATTAAACCCTTTCCCCCAGTTGTTGTTGTTGGTGCAATAATATTTTTATATTTTTTGAGCTTACTTCCGTCAATTTGAGCATTGGGTTTATAATGTCTTTTGTGAGCGTTCGTTTTGTATACAATTTGTTTATAATTTTCCCTGTCTTGTTCGTTAAATAAACTATTGTTAGGATACTTTTTAAATAACAATTCGTATAAACCTTGAGTACCTCTGTACCGTTTACCATGAACATAAATATCTGATCCTTGAATATCTACTTGTGAGTTACCAATAAAAAATTTTTCAGTACTTTTATCCATTCTAACGCCATACTTGTGATCAAACTCTCTATTTTCGGTATCTTCGTACATTTCTCGAATATATTTCCGTGGTAATGGATCGTATTGATCCAAATATTCAATAAAAGACACTGGTCCGATATCTTCAAATCGACTAGTAGATTCCTTGTCTACGTTTACTACGTTGTCTTCATAATCTGAATCAATTTCATCTATAATTGATTGTTTCATTTCACTCGGTGAATCGTAATTACTAATAGGAGTCGAATTAAATGATAACTGTCTAGGCAATATTTTTCGTTTCTTTTGAATTACTGATAGTGGTAAAGTTTGTTCTTCTGCTGTGGCGGCGGCTGCTGCTGCTGCGGCGGCGGCGGCGGCGGGCTCCTCCACTTTTACGGGAGGATGATACTTTGGAGTAGTTTGTGTTACATCACTTACTAGAGTCGTCTTCGTCGTCGTGGTTGCTGGCGTTGTTGTTCTTGTTGAATTTTGCAAAGAAGACTCGATATTTTTCAATCGTTTTGTAATAGGCTTAAACATTGTCTCTTGCATCATTTCACCACGTTTTAATTCTTCAAGTTTTTTTCTTATATCCTTACGTTTAGAAATTAATAGTTTTTTCAAAACTTTATCATTTTGTTGACTGATCATAGCGCTCGATATCACCGTCTATAGCAAGTTACGTTCTGAATGTAGAACCACTAGTGAATAACCTTTATAGGAACAGCTCTCTCTGATCAGGCGTAAACAACTTTTGATCGGGGACCTAAACAGCTCCTGAACAGGTCTAAAACAGCTCTTGATCAGGTCTAAACAGCTTCTGAACAGGTCTGAACAGCTCCTGAACAGGTCGAAACAGCTTCCGCCGCCGCCGCCGCCGCGATAGGACGATTAGAAATGTATGAAGCAATCAAATGTTTTCCTATATCGACCTCCTTGGTTAATATCGCAGTCTTTAAATACAGTTAGGAAACTAAACGCTTCGTTCCAGCATAAAGCACACATTTCTTTAAAACGTTCAAAAGTCATATCGGTACCGATATGATCGTTGTATATGTGTTTCAAATTTAAATCGTCTTGTTTGAAAATTACGAGACAATTAGCATTGTCTCTTATAAGGTGTTTAGGTATTTTAGCATACGTTTGACATAATTAAAACGAATCAATTTTATTATGTCGTCCCATACTAAAGTATTCGCGTATGACATCTTGATTGTCGCACGCTACACCGTCGAAAATGAAAATACTGTTCGGTTTAGCCTCCGACGGATGCATAATGTTTTCACCGGCGTTAAATGTAAAATATCGAATACCTTTTATTGATTTCAGTAGTTGATCCAGGTAAATATATTTTGGTTGGTTCAAAGATCGCGAATAAATGTATACGTTTTCAAATTTTACACCGTTCTCCTGTTCGATTAAATTAATCATCACGTTAGTTTTTCCGCAATTCGAAGGACCCACGATCTTATTGTTGCGGGAAACAATTTACCATGCCTCTTGTAAGATTTTTCGTGAAACGTATTATTTTCGATATGTAATGTAGTACTTTGTTTAATAAGTTTCATAATGTGATTGTTTTCTAAAACACCGTACTATTCATAATAATATAAAATAGATGACTTACAAACTTTTTATATTAGTTTGTACTAACAAAACGAACACAGACGATCGTCAGCATGAAGTGTTGCGCATCAGGTAACGGTTTATTAAATACGGTAATCAACAAATTGCCTTTTGAAATGCATATTCCGGGGTGTAATTGGTGCGGCCCCGGTACAAAAGTTGAAAAACATCTCGCTAAAAACCATTCCGGCATAAACGGTTTGGACGATGCATGCAAACAACACGATATCTCCTATTCAACGGAAACGGATTTAAACAAACGTAACGAGGCAGATAAAGCATTAGCTTCCAAGGCTTTAGCTAGATTTATAGCTAAAAATTCCGGGTTGACGGAGAAAATTGCCGCTTTAGGAGTAATGGCAGCAATGAAAATAAAATTAAAACTCGGTATGGGCATTCAAAATACACATATGAAGATAAGAAGATTTTGATATCGCAGACGATTATCCATTAGATAGAATTCGACGTAAAGGCACTCTAAATGATGATGAAGATAATGAAATTTCAAAAAAGAAACCTCTTATCGAATTAGTTCATAATCGGAAAAGAAAAGCTGCCACGATTGATAGAAATGAAATAAAAATGACAAAAAGATTAAACGAAGAAGATAATGAGAAAAACATAGAAATGGATGATTCTATCGAAAATACCGAATATTGATAACAGAAAATGAAAATTAAGTCTCGACAATGACGACGACGACGACAATTGCGTATACATACCACCTAAAAAACAACAAAATATAAATAGTGAATAAACATGGAAAACACTTTCAGTACTAATTAGAAGTTGTAATTGGTACAATGGTCAGCAGAAAAAACACTAATACAAGAAAACGTAAAACAAGTGCGATACAACGACGACGACGACGACGGCGACGAGAGAAAAAAATTGCCTTTTCAAATGCTACTAAACAAATTAAAAAAACACGTTATTATACAAAAACCTAGTACTTTTGGTGATGCAATTCGTGTCGCATTAAAGGCGGCTCAGAGTTTAAAAAATAAAATGAAACCTAATCGTATCGTACCGATACCAAAAACGGGTGGTGTTTTACCGCTCATTGCGATATTTGCTAGACTTTCGGCGCTCGGTGCTCTTTCCGGTGGAGCTGCGGGTATCGCGAAAGCTGTAAACGATGCGAAATCGGCAACGAAACAATTGCAAGAATCGCAACGTCACAACAAAACCATGGAAGCGATCGCAATGGGTAAAGGCATATACTTAAAACCGTATAAAACAGGAATGGGACTTTTTCTTAAGCCGTATAACCGTTAACAAATAAGTAGTAACTTAGTACCGGCGTCGAGTAGATATATAGTGCCGATATAAGCAGCAAAAACCGCACATAACCTCAATTTCCTAACCCCCCCGCAGCGGGGGCCACCCGCGCATGGCGTCCTAGTGTCCCCCTGGCTACCAGAGTGCGCTCCGCCCCCCACCCAGCTTGTGTAGCGCCCTGTTTTGGCCCGGTTCCGCCCGTCGCTGCTAGATGTCGCGCGCTCCGACCGTCGTAGGCCCCCCCGGTAGAGGGCGGTGACGGTGCGGCGCGGGGACGCGGTGGATCGGGAGGATAATTAAATAAACTTGAATTTTAATATATTTTATTTTATTTTATTTATACAATTGGTCTGGCGAGGAGTTTCTTCTTCTTTTTGTGTCGATTCCGTCGAACATCCCATTGTTCCTGTTCCTTGAGTTGTTCTTCTTCCCGTTCCCGGAGGAAATCTAAATACGAAATGCACTCCTCGCCGTCCCACTCCGTCGACCACTCACCCGGGTACTCCTGCTGCTCCTTTGTTTCTTTTGATCCACCGGGTTGCTCCTGCTCCTGCTGATGTTCGCTTGTCGTTGTATGTCGTACCGGGAATTCTAACCCCCGGTACTCTTTGTGTGATTTGAATATGTGACGCCCTAAGCGATGCGCCAACATAATATGCGACTTGTCATACGGACAAACTGCGATTTTTTCTAGAACAAAACAAAGTATGATATGTAGCGTTTCCTATAAAACACACATTTTTTAAACAAAACTTCCAAAAAGGGGGGTATCAAATAATTTTAAAAATTGTTTTTTAAGTTATACGCGCATACCAAAATTCACGTTTCAATTCACTGTCATTTAAATGATATTAAAAAAGTGTATTATTGTCAAAAGGGCAAACTGCAATTTTTTATTACAAAAAATAAACAAAAATATGTATATATTTCGCGTTTTCCCCGTAAAACGCACATTTTTGAAAACAAAACTTTCAGTAAGTGGAGTCATCAAATAATTTTAAAAATTGTTTATTTTTTAAAAGCCAAAATTCCCTTTTCTATTCACTGTCATTTAAAAGATATTAAAAACACTCAATTTAATTCGATTATTATTGTCAAAAGGGCAAACTGCAATTTTTTAGTACAAAAAATAAACAAAAATATGTATATATTTCGCGTTTTCCCCATAAAACGCACGTTTTTGAAACAAAACTTTCAGTAAGTGGGGTCATCAAATAAATTTAAAAATTGTTTATTTTTTAAAAGATATTAAAAACATTCAATTTAATTCAGTTATTATGCAACGTAAAAAAGATGAGTATCATATTTTAAAAACAGGTAGAAACTAACCAAAAAAGTGATAACCCAAACTGAAACCCACAAAAAAAGACACGCACTGTATAAAGGTAATTAAAATATAAAACTTACCAGTTGTAGGGTCGTAGGGAAATGGACATCGCACTTCTGTATTCATTGCACTGAATATAGTCTATAATACACATGCAACGTATTTATACATATGCACTCCCTTCCATGGTTGAATTTAAACTCGAAAGGTCTTCTAACCACAAGCACCAACGCCGAATAGACGCGATGTTGTCGCCAGACAACCGTGCAGGTAGGAGTCTCAGGGTCAACATGCTTTCACACGGGAACGACTTGAGACGCAACCGCTTCGGACGTTGGACGAACGTATGTTGCCGCAAAAGATCAAGGCCAACTTGCTTTCATTTTTTACAATCTCCGTATGGGATGTGGAATTTCAAAACGCGCCGGGTCTAAATGTCAAGTTGTTTTGCTTGTTGAGAATAATAATTAATTGCCCGTTTATATTTGCTCCGTGGGATTAACGTAATGGGAAAAATTTGTTGCAACGCATGTGGAGGCGTCTTTGTTTGTTAACTTTTAGAAAGTATTCTCGCACCGTATAAATACATCTCATTTTTCTCTGTTTTGTCAGTAGTTGTTTTTGGTATTATTCGTGCAACGTGGAAGCTAACTTAGTGGTTTGGTGTTCGTACAAAAAAGCAGTAAGTACCTTTTTTATTGTTTTATTTTAATTCTTTAACATTTGTTATTATTTTATAAAGGTCTTAAAGATCATCTTAGTACTCTCAACCCGTAACCGCAAATAGAATAGCAGCAATCTTAAGCGTAAGTTTTTTTTTATTTTTTTAATTTTGAGATAAAATAATTAATAATAATTTATAGATGGACTTAAGTCAACTGAATCAAACCTGTCTTGCAGAAGGTGATTTTGAGCAGCCGATTGTCAAACTGCATGAAATGCCGATAGGCGTTCCGTTTAAAATTACAAGAGCCAAAATTGTTAATACAAAATTTGGCAATTCCGTGTTGCTGCAATTAGAAAATTCCGTAGTATTTCTTCCTACTCGCGTGACAGAAGCTTTCCGTCCGAGACTAGAACACTTTGCGTCGGGGCAGTACAAACTCGTCTACGAGGGATCCAAAGATATTGGAAAGCCCAACTCTTTAAAGAAATTCAAAATTAATCAACATATTATACAGGGTAAGTCTTATTTACTGTTATATATTTAATAAACAACGATGCGCGTAAAGCAGATCATGCATAGAGCGCAAATCTTAATTTTAACCTTACAGAAATTAAAAAAGCATATTTCCGACAAGTTCACTCTTAGAGATAGATAATGATGTGTGGCTTAGGAGACTAAATAAAAATATTGAATCTTGCAACCAAATCGTTTCTAACGAAAAGGATTTATCTATTGGGTTAAAAAGAAAGTTACAAACTACAATTCAACATCTGAAAGCTATTAGAAAAATTATTCTTAATTATCAACATAAGCATTTTGGATTGGGATTACAAAGTAGTAGCCGCGAGACAAACACAAATGAAATGGTTGTATGAGAATCGGTAGCGTCGTGCTTCCAGGGAAGAGTTCAGACCGGTGTCATAATTAATTTACTTCATAAAGATTTAATTCAATTTTTAAACGATTGTCATCCAATTTTTCAACAAAAAATTAGTCAAATTTTAAAGAAATTTTTATTGCTAAAAGTAAATACCACATTTTGCGGTGAATTTATTAAGGCAAAAAATGATGTCCAAGGCGAAGTTGATGTTAAATATCTGAGTACCGGAAATGCTGTAGTTGATTTAGGAACAGAATTGAATGATTGGTTTGTTGAAAATGTGCAAGATAAAATTTTAAATCAAATGTCAGAGTTTCAGGAACGTGATTCCGGGTGGGCTTTAAATAATATTATTTATTTAGAGATTAACATTAATAAATTTGAAATGGGTAACGGATCATCCTTCGTTGAGTTGCCTAAAGAAATTGCAAATAAAAGGGCTTGTATTAATATTAGAAATGACGATCAAGCGTGTTTTTATTGGTCAGTTGTATGCGGACTCTTTCCAGCACGTTTTCGTCAGTATTTACCCTCCTCATATCCATACTACAAAAGTGTTTTGAAAACTGAAAATTTACAAACACCTATGGAAATGAATAAAATAAGCAAATTTGAAAAAGACAATGATATTTCCATCAATGTTTATATCTTAGAGTTCAATAAAAATGAAAAAACTAGTTTTTATTCCGTGCTACCCGCACGATTAACTAAAGAAACACGCGAAAAACATTCAAATTTGTTGTTAATAGAAAATAAATATTATCCAAAAGTTAATGATTTTGATCCTGATCCGCAAGATAATGATCATGAAGAAATAAAATATCACTATTGTTACATTAAAAATTTGTCTCGATTAGTTTCCTCACAGCTCAGTAAATATAATCACAAGAAATACATTTGCGATAGGTGTTTGAATTATTTCAATAACGAAACTCGTCTACATGACCACGAAACAATGTATTCCAGTTTCAATGAGTATAAAGTGTCGTTTCCCAAGTATGATTATGTTGAATTTCGAAACCATATATATAAACAAAGGACTCCGTTTGTAATTTACGCCGATTTTGAGAGTCAATTGAGAAAATTAAATTTGAAAATTTCAGATAAAACCTCGAAATACCAAAAGCACGAAGCTTACAGTGCTGCATATTACTTTAAACGTTCTTATGATGATTCAATATAATTTTTCAAAAGTTATCGTGGTCTAGATTGTATTGATTGGTTCGTGGAGGAAATATCTAATTTATCAAAATTTGTTCGTTCAAAATTTAAGGATATTATACCAATGGATAGTGAAATTTGTCTAGATCAAAGGTCGAGCCATTGTCATATTTGTGAAAAACCTTTTTTAAAAGAAGATGTTATTGTTCGTGACCATGATCATTTTACTGGTAAATTTAGAGGTTTTGCCCATCAGGCTTGTAATTTAAATTTTAAAAAAATATTTGTAGTGCCCGTAGTATTCCATACATGGATACGATAGCCACTTCCTGCTTCCGGTTTTAGCAAAAAAAAGCTGTGTATCCATAGTTCCGGTTAATAAGGAAAAATACATCTCTTTTACATATTTCGAACCTGATTATAACCTAAAATTTCGATTTATAGATTCGTTTAGATTTTTGGGAGCATCTCTGGATAATTTAGTTTCCAGTATGGATAAAAATGAACTATATATTTTAAGAAAAAAGAATTTTCCGATCTCGACTTTACTGTCGCAAAAAGGTATTTTTTGTTACGATTACATCGACCATATAGACAAATTAAATGAAACAACACTACCCCCGATTGAAGAATTCCATAATAAATTAAGTGAAAGCAATATTAGTGAAGAAAAATATTCCCACGCACAAAGTGTTTGGCAGTCGTTTGAAATAAAAAAATTAGGCGAGTATTCAGATTTGTATTTAAAAACCGACGTTATTCTTCTGGCAGATATATTCGAAAATTTTCGAAAAACTTGTATGGCAACACACGTTTTGGATCCGGCATGGTATTTCAGTATGCCCGGGTATACATGGGATTGCATGCTTAGATTCACAAAATATCGTTTAGAACTTTGGCGCGACATTGACCAAATTACGTTTATCGAGCGGGCTATACGAGGTGGAATTTCGGTGTGTGTTGATAGATATGCGGAGGCCAACAATAAATATATGCCCAACTACGATTCATCCAGGGATGATTCCTATATCATGTACTTTGACGTCAATAACCTCTATGGCAAGGCCATGTGCGAGCCTCTTCCTTATTCATTTAATGTCATGAACATTCCAGATGAATCTTCCCAAGGATATATCCTAGAGGTAGACCTGGAATACCCGCAGAAATTACATGACACACATAGAGATTTTCCATTTTGTGCTGAACATCGAGTGCCTCCCAATTCAAAGTTACCAAAACTAATGACTACTTTGTATAATAAAGAAAAATACGTCATGCGCTATCGCAATTTAAAACAGGCTCTCAAAAACGGTCTCGTACTAAAGAAAATTCACAAAACATTAAAATTTAACCAATCTCGTTGGTTGAAATGTTATATCGATCATAATAATAAATTAAGAACCCAAGCAAAGACAAAATTTGGTATAAATTTATACAAATTGTTTAATAATGCCGCTTACGGTAAAACAATGGAAAACATTCGCAAGCATCGTATTGTTAAATTTGTTAAAGCGTGGGATGGTCGCTACGGTGCGAAAAATTTAATTTCTAGTCCTAGATTTCACAGTAGAACCATACTTGATAAGAATTTGTTGCTTATAGAATTAAAAAAATCGGAACTTTGCTTTACTAAGCCACTTTATATTGGAATGTCCTTATTGGATTTGTCGAAAACGACCATGTACGAGTTTCATTATAATTACATGCTTCCAAATTTGGGTCCCGAAAAATGTAAAAATCAATACATGGATACGGACAGTTTCATTTATAATATCAAATGTTATGACGCATATGAAAGCGTTACTAAGGCCGATTTACCAAAATTTGACACGTCTGATTATCCTAATGACAATCCCTATAATATACCGCAAATCAACAAAAAGGTTTTGGGGTTGATGAAGGATGAGACTAATGGCACCATCATTAGTCATTATGCGGGGTTAAGGTCGAAAATGTATACTTTCAAAATTTTAACGGGATCGGTAGTTAAAAAGTCAAAGGGTATTCAGTACAATATTGTAAAAAATAAAATTTCATTTGATGACTACGTAGAATGCTTAACAAATTTTAGGGAAAAGTACGCCACTCAACGAACCATTCGTTCATACCCTCAAAATGTATTTAGCATCGAACAAACAAAAGTTGCCTTGAGTCCTTTAGACGATAAACGTTATCTTTGGCCGAATTCATATGAAACGCTTCCGTGGGGACATTATAAAGTGCCGTAATTATTTTTTAATATATTTTTGTTACAGATTATGGTCAAACAACTTACATTAGAAAGCCTTTGTATTATAACAATTTGCGAAAATATTAGGTGTAGTGCTGATTTTTTGCTTGAGTCGCCTTTGCCTTGGAAACTAACGATACTAATATTTAAATATTATTCGAAATATAGATGGAGGTACCTTAAACAAATAGCGCTCCAGTCTGATGGCAATTCTTTATTAAATTAAGAATTCATTCTGTTGAATAAGAGATTTGGATCGTCTTACA